AGAACCGACTATTAGCTTGACATCGGACAGCTATCACGGATGTGATACCTTTTTCTTCCATTCTTTATTTCTTTATCAGTTATATCTAAGCGTTACAGCAGTATATACAATAGCTTGGACGGTTGACTAGGTGATTTGGAGACAGCAGATGGTCTTCACCTAGTCCACCTATGTATTGTACGTAAGTACAGAACAGTATATGTTTCAATGATACGATAGATCCAGCATCTGGAAGTCAGATCTACCTTACTAATAACTAACTATTGATTACCGACCTACCTGTTGATAAGTGGCCATCTAACAGGTCGTTGTCTAACGATGGATAGCCTCCTGTCCCAGACGGTGAGCCCTACTGATACCGTATATTGCGACACTTGCTCAGGTATGCGTTGTGCAGATATACAATACAGTACAGTACTTGCGGGCTATCATTGTGAGGCACGTGCGACATGGTGCCTGTAGGTACTGATATTTACAGTATGAAATTGTTAATGGTTTCTTCTCCTGGTGCTGCAGATCGTGCCCCACCCGATCGAATTCTCAGGCCAACATAACGTTACACTTTGGCCGCGTTCCTATGTACTGTACATACAGCGCAGTACCTTCATCCTCCTCCATACAGGAGCTGGGACGAAACTGCAAAGCTGTCCGGTCTTCAGTCCACTTCTTGTATCGTCAGTGCTGCTGGATCTTGATCTTCGCATGCACTCTGTTTGAGACAGGCCGATAGACCATTGCAAGCCACTCGTCACAGCCTCGTCTCCAGCACAAGCGCCAACCTTTCAAGCGGGTTGTCCCACGGGAAGCGACCGCCTTTTTGATATGCCCGATGTTGCCTCGTGGCGCTGGTTAGTACGTGTATGTACAGTACACAGGGTACAGTGGCCCTGGCGGACATGCTCTGTCGCTACAGGTCTCCATCCTTTCGACATGAGCTACACATGTAGTTACATAGGTATTCGGGTTCTCTTGCTTCCTAACTTTCGGCGAAGAAGATCCTACACAGACTATGCGACGGCAAGGACACTGGCATATAAATATCAACAGTCAGTACGGTATTTCCAAGTGTGCAGTGCTGATCGGGGAGATCATGGGAGATGTTTCCGATTACCATTTGAATGCTGAAAGCCCCACTTCGACCCCGCGGGCGCTTGAAATTAACTTGCGCTGTGACGCTGTCACGTTACAGTCTAACCTTTACATAACGATTGAGTCGGGAGTAGAATTTTGACCGTTAATCTCCGAATATCGCTATGCAAAGTGCCCCACTTTATGCCTGAAGAAGGAAAATGTGGGGCACATGTACCCTTCGACCCCTAGAAACATAGGCCTACCGTTGCTCAACTAATCGTTTTTAGGGAATAGAGGTCCTAAGACTTGCCTAACTATAACGATTTGTATAGATTACTCAGCAAAATCGCTAACGTTTATCTTAAAAGCCAGGTTCTTGCAGTTTCCCATATATATATCGGTGGGCGCAAGATTCTGACCGTTACCATTCCCAGTTAGGAAACCGATCATCGTTGGATTCCGCTCACACAGCCACAATGACCATTTGAGCCACATTGTCAGGCCGTCTACAGTTGCCAGATCAATTTACGAACTGTATGCCAAGCTTTGGCGGCCTGTCTGTGGCTGGGTGAGCGGAAGCCAACGATGATCGGTTTCCCGACTGAGAATGGTAAAGCCCGAATATCGTTATGTACAAAAACGCTATGTGAAGGTTAGACTGTACTAGTAGTGGATCCATAAAGTCCAGGCTGGCAGGGTGGTATGTACCGGTATCCGTACTGTACGGAGGTACTGTACGGGACATACGGATACCGGTACGTCAGGGGTGTTCTCGATCTCAACTCTCTTTCGTTGATAAATCCTCATATTGCGGAACAGGGCCCGAGCTTACACGCCTTCCCCAGTCCTGCTTTAGGCCATGCACATGAGATCCTATTCTGACCTCTTCTTTTCCACCACGATGAGCTAGTCTGTGAGGGGCAACGCCTGCATAGTCGGATATGAAGTTGATTGTCTCCTAGCGGCGAGTCAATGTCGGGAAAACCCTCTTCAAGCCCAACCTCTCGGCGCAGAGCATCCCACTACCTAGTTAATTTACCTAGTGTTGTTCACTCGCACCGTCGCACGGACTCGGCGACAAGTCCGAGCTCGAGGGGAGCTACGATAGAATGTAGGCTGTTGACAAGAGTCACAAGACTCATAATTATCATGAAATTGAGGTGAGAGCCTAGTTATTCAAGTTTTCTTGTCTCTGTGTCTCGTAGTGTACTGTACTTACAGAACCTGATTCTAGCTTTTCTCTCAGTGACACTGCAACTCTGCAAACGTTCCCCTTGCCAACGAGAAAGACCTTCACACCCTGTTGCTTGGCGCCGGGACTGGGAGGCCGTTCGAGAACACACAACGTGCGGTTCTGAATCATTCAATCAGTCAAGTCCCCTCACTGCATGACTGTTCGAGTTCTTAGTTTACAGGGGATTTGTCTGCCTGGCGAGCGTCCAAGTCTCCGAGTCGGCTTGCATGTGCTCTTTGTCCCTCGTATCTGCGCCCTACCCCGTTCCCGGCTTGCCTGGGAGTCGGGTTCTCGACCCGAGTAAGGGATTACCTACCGTGGCTGACTCCGAGTCAGCAGATTCATTCTAACGCTGCTTGATATGCTCACTGCATCTTTTGAACACTGCCCCTTACTTAAGCCTCCAAGCTGGAACGCGAAGTCCTTTCGAGGTATAGGCACGCTTTTCATGATTTTCTTACCATACAAATACTCTTCACCCCCTTCGCCTGCCGTAAGCTGCCACTGGATGAATCCACCCAGGTACATCCGGCTCTGGTTCGGTGTACAATACCTGGTTACAATACATGATGTGTTGCACAGAGGTTCCCAAGAACCGCTCAAAGGGAGTGTCGTGTCATGGGAACTTTGAATTAGACCGGAAACATATGTGCTACGTTATCTTGCGTTGTGTGACGCGAACGACGGTTTTCTACCTGAGCTGACCGTATGCACTTTGTACTAGTAGTACAAGAGCCAGCAACGCACGCCGTACAACAGAGATCGGGAAGCACATGGCTCGAGGTGAAACGCCATGAGCCGGAAACGGAAGACGTACAGTACAATACCTACAAAGTCATTATGTATAGCTATACCTTGTAAACACGGTGTGTATTTATGTAATTAGTCCCTGGGCATGGTATAGTTGTGAGAAGTGTTACATGTCTTTTGTAAGTCAGAAGTAACTCATCAGATACTTGGACTCACATCTTCTTGTTTTTGGATAGGCAAGGGACCAGTACTAGTATGAAGTCTGACAATCGCAGAGCCAATCTGACTCCGCGAGCAAGGTACTACTTCCTAGGTATACACCAACCTTATATCAAGCTCTATCATGAGCAGCCTGGTGGGACACCCAAGGTCAAAGAGTAGCGAGTAGTTGCAGCGCAGCAAGCAACATAGGAGGGCAAAAGAACAAGATCAAAAAAACAATTGCGACAGGAGGGAATCGAACCCCCACCTCAACCTTGGAAGGGTTGAATCCTAGTTGTCCATGTTAGTAAGCCCGCTTGAGTGCTCCGAGATTGGGTACCCGGATATGGCGGTTTAGGTTGAGGGTATTCTCACCTAACCACTAGACCACTGTCGCGAGGGTTTGGACGAGCTGGGAATCGAACCCAGGACCTTTCGCATTCGCCAGTAAGTGAATGCTAAGCGAACGCTCTACCAACTGAGCCACACGCCCTAAGCATAGGGTGTACCTATGCTGATTTGTTGTCCGGCGTGGCGTTAATCGCGCATCTGAGCAAGGTGTTGCAGACTGCAGGTTCGTTGGCCTACCTTTACGGAATATCATTAGGCTCGTTGTGAGGGTTAGTTATACGACAAGGGCGGCATAAAGGGTTAGGGTCATTATCTATGAGCTTAGTGAGGTTAGACTGAATTGATAACGTGCTTGCTTCCTGGTTTCCGTTAGAAATTCTTGCTCGCGACCGTACAGACGCGACCGTACAGACGTGAACCATCGTGATTTCACAACACTGAAAGCTTTTGCAACCTCGGCAAGGGGACACTGGATATCAATTTGATCAACCAGTTTTGCCGCCCAATTCTCCAATATGTATGCGCACTGCGCCGTGCTTCCAATTTTGGCGCGTGCGCGCGAAGACTGACAAGATTGCAGGCATGCTTTTCGTCGCACCGCTCTGAGGTCCGTCCTCTCGGTCTCCAGGCCGCTCTCGGCCAAGACTCGCACCTTTCCTTTCGCCGCCGGAGTTTTCAAGAGCTTCAGTGGCTCGTTACCCAGGTTGCTGCCGACCTCACGCTTGTTTTCGCACACCGGACGCCTTGCCGACTCGCAGGCGGACAAGACTGCCTCCGCCGAGGCTGCGCAGGACGTTGTGGTATGTCTTCAGTCTGTTTCCCCAAGGATATAAAACTAAGATTGGGATCAGGAGTCTCTTGCTCAAAGCGAAGCAGATATCCAAGAGGCCGTACAAGAGGTGGCCCCTGCCGAATCCCAACAAGTTGAGAGACCGAGGCGTGAGTTTCTTTGCAAAGAATCAACGCTGCTCGAGCTATTGGCTAATCCATAACCTGTAGGACATAAAGGAAAGTATGGCGCCTTCATTCGTAACATTGTCTTCGAAGTGACGGAGGAACATCTGCAGCAAGCGTTCGAGAAGTACGGCAACGTTGTTAGCGCGTACATTGCCCGGGACCCTCGTGGTCTAAGCAAAGGGTAGGTTACGCTTCAGTTCACTCGAGTGTTACCGTCGCCGAGCGCTTCCTTGGTCGCTTACGCTGCTGCTTCTTTAGATATGGTTTCGTCGAGTTCGATTCCGAGGAGGCCCTTCAGCAAGCTTGCGACGCCGTTAACGGGTCCTTCTGGCATGGGCGTCGCATTACGTGCGTTCCGCGGCAAGAAGAGCCCGTCAAAGTGAGGACGGAGAGACAGCCCATGTCAACGCCGACGGCGCAGCTCTTCATTGGCAACATCCCCTTTGAGACGACGGATGCCGAACTGAATCGGCTTTTCAAAGACATCGCCAATTGTACTGATATACGGGTGGCGGTAGACCGCGCCACCGGTTGGCCGCGGGGCTTTGCACACGCGGACTTCACCACCGTTGAGGCAGCTCAGGAGGCGTATAAGCGGTTGCAAGGACTTGTGATCGGCAATAGGGAGCTACGAGTTGACTATGCTACGGGCTATATAAGAAGAAAGGGCCAGGGGGGGAATCAGCAGAGTGGAGGAACCGCTTTTAGGGTCATAACGGATCCGAAAGAAGGAACGGAGTGAAGCTGTGATTGGAGAGAGCCTAAGAGGGTAATAGAAGAAGGCAATGTACGATGGGAATTGTAAGATCTTGTGTGTAGAAAAGATTTCGATGACTCGGATCCGCTCCAACGAAGTTTGCCAAGGGCCGCGGCATAATTGTATACCTACCGCGTATCAAACCTCACGATATAGAGTTCAGTCCCAGTACAGTACCTATGTCGATTTTTTACAATGAGATTAAATTGCATGCTACAGTATCAGTCCATAGACTAAGGCCCTATAGGCCACGGCTAGAAACCCAAGCCCTGCGGTCCGATGAAGACCGAGAGCCGGCCACATGTCAAAGGTGGGGTCCTCTTTGTGTCGGTATTACCCAGTAGCTATCGAAACCCGCCACAACAACGACGAAAATTGGGGTAGTTAACGTTCACTGAGGTGCCTCGGCATTTCGAAAGGTTATTAGCGGCGCCACGCCACTGTATGTGTGTACATACAGAGACATGACCGAACCCAAGTCAACAGCAGCCCAACACTTCAGATACTCCCAGGGCACACCTTAATAACTCGAGCTGCTTCCTGCATCAGCGGCTGCCACAGATTATTAGCCTCATTCCTGACTGGATCCTATATCTAGTTAACGCTTTACCTTTCCTTCATCAGCCCGAATCTGGGCTTGAGAAATCTGTTGGCAGCCGGACGGTACTTAACTGCCCTGTCGCTTTGCACTGTTTGCAGACGGCCCCGCGATCAGCACAATCCGTCTCTCACAGTCCTGTGACCCCGTTGCACCGCCGTCATGTCGTTCCTCGGCGGCGCCGAATGCTCGACGGCGGGAAACCCACTGAGTCAATTCACAAAACATATCCAAGATGACAAGAGCTTGCAGCATGAGAGGCTTGTCGGCAGGGGCCCAGCGGGCTCGCTTGGCGGCTTTAGGAGTGCTGCGCAGAGCGCTCCCCAGGACGAGGTAAGTCAACCGAAAGCACAATGAGCAGTGCCAGGCAGGACGAAGCCAAGATCTAACTGTCTTTTCCTCCTTAGATGATGAACGGCTTTCTTCATCAGAGCCCCAATCTCCCCGAGATACCGCTCGAGCAGCATGGCCCTATGGGCCATGTGCACATCAATCAACCCCATGGCGTTCACCTCCGTGCCCAATCCGCATCGCCGCTATCCCCCAGCTGGGCCCCCGCCGACACCCAGGCTGCCATGGAAGCTGCTTTCAACGTGCCGCCGGGAACAGAGTTCAGCCCGGACGAGTTCGCCAAGTTTCAGCACATGAACGGTTCGGCAGCGTCAGCCTCGCGCGCCACTCCCATGCCTGGTGCCAGTAACAACATGATGGCCCAGCCACGGATGCCCATGATGATGGGAGGCATGGGTTACGGCATCATGTCCCGCCCCGCGTTCCAGCCCATGTACGGCCCACAGATGCACATGGCTTCTCAGCCGCAACCCCAGCAGGAAGTCGAGGGCAAGGGCAAGGGGAAAGTGGTGGAGCTAGACGAGCACAAATGGGAAGAGCAGTTTCAGCAGATGGAGTTGCACGATCGGCAGCTGCGTGAGTCGGGCGCTGAGAAGGATGAGGCTCTCGCCATGGAGCCAGAGCTGAATGACATGGACGAGAAGTTGCTTCATTCTGAGACAGGCTACGGCGATCTCGAGTCCATCTGGCGCGGCATCCAGGCCGAACAGGAAGCGATGAAGGAGATGGACAACATCGAGGACGACTTTGCCCGGTTCGACAGCTCCCACTTTGGCGGGGACAATCTCAACGAATGGGGGCTTAACGGACGGCTAGGAGCGGACCCTGTTGTGCAAGAGTATCTCTTCGAGGAGGAGAACGTCTACCAAGAACAACCCAATCCATTTGAGGAGGGTGTGCGCATCATGAATGACGGCGGCAACCTCTCTATGGCCGCTCTCGCCTTTGAGGCTGCCGTGCAGAAGAATCCCGACCACGTCGAAGCCTGGGTTTACCTCGGTAGCGCTCAAGCCCAAAATGAGAAGGAAGAGGCCGCCATCCGCGCCCTCGAGCATGCCCTGAAGCTCGACCCTAACAATCTAGCCGCCCTGATGGCTCTTGCCGTGTCCTATACCAACGAAGGCTACGACAGCACTGCCTACCGCACCCTCGAGCGCTGGCTGTCGGTAAAGTACCCACAGATTATCGCTCCGCAGGATCTGTCGTCGGTCGCCGACATGGGCTTTACCGACCGTGCCCAGCTTCACGAGCGCGTGACCAACCTCTTTCTCAAAGCCGCCCGGCTGGCGCCCGACGGCGACCACATGGACCCCGACGTGCAGGTCGGCTTGGGCGTCCTCTTCTACGGCGACGAGGAGTTCGACAAGGCGGTCGACTGCTTCCAGGCAGCGCTGCAGTCGTCGGAGCAGGGCACGAGCAACCAGCGAGAGCAGCTGCACCTGCTGTGGAACCGGCTGGGCGCCACCCTGGCCAACTCGGGCCGCTCCGAGGAGGCCATCGCCGCCTACGAGAAGGCCCTCGAGCTCCGCCCAAATTTTGTCCGCGCCCGCTACAACCTCGGGGTCTCGTGCATCAACATAGGCTGCCATGCCGAGGCCGCCGGCCACCTGCTCGCCGCGCTCGACATGCACAAGACGGTCGAAAAGAGCGGCCGCGAAAAGGCCCGCGAGCTGCTCGGCGGCAATCCCGATGACCCGGCCACCGACGCCCGCATCGAGGCCATGACCACCCAGAACCGGAGCACAACCCTTTACGACACGCTCCGCCGCGTGTTTACCCAGATGGGCAGGCGTGATCTGGCCGAAAAGGTGGTTGCCGGGGTGGATCCGGACATTTTTAGGGGGGAGTTTGATTTCTGACGGGAAAGGTGATGGAGAGCCATTGCCAGAGCCATCGCCGGGTCGGCAGCGGCAACTGTGGCATTTGAATGGGTCCAAGTGGACGGCGTGGGATAGGATGCGGGTGTCTTGAATCCATGCGAATGGAGCGGATGTTCTTTGGGGGATTCAAATTACAGTGCCCGCAGGTGCAATACATTGTCCGTAACGTTCGGAGAATGGGAGCGAGGCGTGCTGTCAACGCCGTCTGTATAGTAGCGCATACGGTAGAAAAAGCGAACTGATGACAGCATAGAGACAGCGAAAAGCATACAGCTGCGAGGATCATACATATCTTGTACCGCTCATCGGATGGCACGAGATCGGTTCTGGGTATCACGTATACTAGATGCCTGGCTGCTGCGCTGAATATCTACTCTCTCCTTGCCTTTCCCGCGCAAAGTTGCGTTGGGCATGGCGCGTGGCAATGCGGTACATAACGTCAGTATCTCGGTTACCGTACCCACGCTGCCCCCGCGCAAATGGAAAAAGGGGCACCTTGGCACGTGTCGTACCTCTTCGTGGCTAAACTTCCATCCCATCCGGCACCAACTTATATACACGGCAGGTCTCCGCCACCCACATCAGCGTCTCCTCATTTCACGCCGATGAACCCGATACCGCTTCGCGCTCCGCGCACCGCCCGCCGCAGCGCCTGGTCTTCCTTATCGGTCCATTGCACGCTGAGCTGATCCCACTTGGACCCGGGCGTGTTGTACTCCCTTTTGAATTGCGCCTGCATGGCCTGGAGGCGGCTCATCTCCCTGGGATCGCCGGAGCCGCTGAAGACGATGAAGGCGGTGCAGGGGGGCAGGGTGTCGTAGATACGCTTGAGGCGGTTGGTTAGGTTCGTGAGGCACGTTTCGAGCGGTGAATGCTGGTTGTCTTCTACAGATGATGTTGTGGTCGTAGTCACGGTGGCGTCAGTTGATGTAGCCGTGATGGTTGTTGTACTTGCGGTTGTCGCCGTGGTTGAAGTCTCGAGCAATGCGGGAGGTGGTCCGCCTGGCTCGTCAGGGACCAGCTTGTTGCGATTCCACCACCCCTGTAATGCCTCCAGCTCGCGCATGCGCGCCCAGACAAAGTCAACGCCACCACCAGGGACCTCGCGGCCGTCTGGGTCGCCCTTGACGGCGCGGATGATGCCGGCTTCCACGTCGGCATCTGACTTGCATGAGATGGTAACGGTGGCGGCATTGCAAGCGCTTCGCGTCGCGTCGCCCCAGTCGATGGCCGCACTGCTCTTACCTACCGGAAGGCCACCAGTAGCTTCGGGACCGGCCGTGGCGCGGTAGACGGTGCCAGCGCGGGCGAGACGTTTGAAGAGGTTCTCACCTTGCACATCGCCCGATGCCCAGGCTTTGCCCTTTTCGCACTTCTTCTTTACGAGATCGAGGCAGGTGCGAGCATCTTCAATGCTGTCGTGTCCGGATATGGCGCCGCCTGATTTCTGGATCTCGCGGCTGAGGTACTTCTGGGCGAGGTATTTGAGTGATGATTTGAGCGGCGGACCGCGCGGGTGGGGGAAGAGGATGGACGTGTCGACAATAAAAGGGTGGGCGAGGCGGAGAGCTTTAAGATCTGAGTCGAGAGAGTGGCCCACGAGAATCGTGCGGGGGTGCAAGAGGTCAAGCAACCTGGCTTGTATGTCGCTGAGGGTGGTCGTAATCGGGTCGAGCATCTCCTTGGTGATGCCCGAGAATCGTGTGACATAGTCTGTGATGGGCTTGGCTGGCTTGACAAGCTCATCGAGAACTACCTCACCGTCCCACGAAACGAGGCTTACCCTTGTGAGCGAAAACTCGCTTTCTCCTGTCATGCACATCTCGCAGTCAAGGGCAAAAACTTGGCGGCCGGCCGTGATGCTCCCCTGCTCAATCTCGGCCTCCGGGACATCGCCGTCTTCCAGGCTGTTGACCCTGGTATGCACCCATCCTTCTGCATCTTTAAATGCGTCTCTCCGGTCCCCTTCCGGAAGAAGGGCTGGGTGCATCGGGAACCCGTTTTCCATCAACTCTTCAGAAGTGGCCAGAAACTCTGTTATCCTTGTCCTTTCATCTTTCCAACCTTGAGGGTCAGACACTGGCTTCAGTCCACCTTTCTTTTCCTTAGAAATAGGTGCAGTCAGCATCGCCTGCATTGGAGAGTGCAGCTTGGCGTACTTGTCATCGCCCGGTGCTCGCACCGGCCAGAGATGCGGAAACATATCGGCGAACGGATGCAGCGGGGCGGGCAATGAGTCCTTCTTGAGCACACGAGGATAATAGTCATCGGGAGATGTTTCAATGCGCCCGATCGCTTGATCTGGCGACAGATTGTTATAGGTAGAGAAGTCAACCTTCTCCTTGAACATGGCTTCCTCTAGGCCAGGAACCATGATGGTGACAATCTTCCTGAACTCTGGACGATGCTTGACCGAGACCCACTGGGGGGCGGTGCCGTCGGCGAAGATATACAGGATCAAGTCGCGCAGGGACGAGACATTGATCTTGGACTGCAGCCTTGCCTGTGGCGAGAAGTGAATGGCAGGATACCTGCTTGAGGCAGCGCCAGGTGTTTTTTTCGCCTTTTTCACGGGTCGGCCGCGCTCAATTGTCTGCCAACCATCGTCGTCGTCATCATCAGCATCATGGGTGCTGGACCGCTTGAGACTGCCTGAGGATTCGCTGGAGGCGTGCGTCCGAGGAGAGCCAGCCTTGTCGTCACTGCCGCCTTCTGTCGTCGCGCGTTCGATTATGGTCGCCATTGCAGCCGCCAGGCCATGGTTGGCGCTGGTCTTGTTCTTTTTGTTCTTTCCCATGGCGGCAGTAAAACAATCGGGTGCTGGTCGGCAGGTCTCTTGATCGGCCGCGCCTTGCCCCGTCGTTCAATGTGACGAGAGTTTAGAACGGGGTGTGAGCGAAAAAAAACTTGCATTTAACGAGGCGAGCTCACACCCTCCAAAGTCCAGAGTCCAGACCTAGTGACCTGCCTTGTTTTGGAAGTAAACCCTAACCCTGTCCTAGCCGAACCATTTAAAGGAGTCTAAAGTCCTCCAGCAATCCCTTGCTCACACTCTTAAATACCAGTCTACTCAACTAAGTGACTAAGATAGTTATATTTTATCTTCTAACATGCTTGTATACCTAGACAATACTTTCACACTTTGTTTCTGTAACCCTTCGGCTGTTCTGGACACCAGGTGTCTGGAAATGCTCTTCAATATTGACTTGGATAACCGCGTCGCAGTTTCCTGAGGAGACATGGGGTGGTGATGGATGGTGACGAGCATCGCTGGGAAACTGACACCATGGTCAGCTTGTCGAGATGTTGCAGATGGGAATCGAAATGTTAAGCGCAGGGTTGAAAGAGCCAAGGAGGCACTCAAACCTCCGGTATTGACGTCGACTCGCATTGCTGACCCGGGCCTCGTCTCCGAAATAACCACTGTTTGGCATGTGAGCCCAGCAGTCATCCTCGGCTGTAGATGCGGGCTCAACCGGCCCGTGCTTCCATCAGAGTACAGCTACTCGCTAACGCAAGGGACAGCGCGACTCCTCAGCGCCCTTCCTATGCGCTGCAACCATCCATAGAAGACTGACATCTTCAGCATGGCGAAATCCGGAAGCGAAGGACGGATTCTGATAGATGCCGCAAAGAGCTCATCAACTAACGGTGTCCCAACTCGTCTCAGAAAACGATAACGCAGGATGATGCTGGATTGCTCCGTCATTTCTTCGTGAGGCTTTTGTTGCCCAGCATTGCCTCCAGTATCTCGGGTGCGAGGGACGCTAACTTCCTGATAGGGCTGAGCACCTCCTTCTCAAAGAAGGCGCTGGCCTCCGGGTCCTCTGGGTCCATTGCCCATGCTCGAAGCAGAGTCGACTCCTTCTCCCGTCCCTGTAGGCTCTCAACATCGTCTAGCATCGACCTTGCTTGTTGCAGTACCTCCCGGTCCTCGGATGCGCCAGTGGAACCATGATGGACGGCGAGACGCAAAAGGGCTTCGCACATGCTGACTTGGTCCGCTAATGCAAGGGTTCCCACAAGACCCTCGTGCGTGCATCTCGTGGCCAGAGAGCCGCTTGCTGTGAACTCGCCAGTCACAGCCAGCAGCTTGACGATGGACATGATACCCTTGATCCGCCAGGGCATAAAAGGTGCCACCAATTTGAACGGCTCGCACTCGGTGGCGAGGAAACACAGTAGAGGGAGAGCGTAAACCACCATCTTGTAGCTGGTTTGCCAGCGTAGAGCGACATTTAGGATTGTTGTCGGCAATGGCTCCACCGCCCACATTCCGGCCTCGACAAGCGGTTTACACAGTTCCCACCGGGCCCGCCCAACCTTTAGGTGATCCTTCTCATCGTCTCCTTCTGGCTTGGGTAAGGACTGCCATGTCTTGTAAATAGCCTCAACCTGCTGTTTGGACACCTTTGAGCGGTCGATAGGGGGGTTCCGCAGTTTCCCCAGATTTGGCTGGAGACTAAAGGAGTTGAGAGAGAGAGCTGGGGACTCCTGGCAAACCTCATAGCAATCAAGATCGTTTTTGCACCGGGCGCAATCACACTGGAAATGGTAAAGTCTGAGCGCCTCGTGACGGGCAGACCTGGGTAAGGTGTTGTCTAAAGACGAGTTAGTCCGCAAGACGTTTCCACGGCTCGCCCAAGGCATATCTTACCGATATACGAAATCGTAATCTCCTCTCCCTCTCGGATATCCCTCTCCGCCCTCAAGATAGCGGTTCTCTTGTCAAATCCGATAAACGCATTCGGCACGCAGGAGTGGTTTACCATAGCCAGTCCAGCGTCGAGATAAATGCCCGCCATACCTGTGTCCTCATCCAGCCGGTTAAATGCATTTGTTTGTATCTGTCACCCAGCCGCGTTATCAGCATGCAGACCTGCCCCTTTTCTCCGCCATAAGGCACACCCAAACCTTGAACTTCAAAGACAGACGAAGGGAAGCAACGAAAAAAAAAGGCTCACCTTGCAAAGCACCTCCCTCGCCTTCGCAAGCACCTCATCCCCTTGCAACAGGCCGGCATACACCACGGCCGCAGAAGCCTGCAGCTCAAAGTCGGCCCAAACCTCCTCCTCCTTGCGGAAAGCCTCCACGTTTCCCTCCAGCCCGGAGCCGGACTCAAACGCCTCCCTAACCTCCTTATCCCCCGCCCTGAGCCGCAGCATGACCTGTGCCACGGCCCGCACGGGCGTCGGCAGCCAGTCCTTGCCCACCGACTTGCGGACCCGCGCAAACATGGCGCACTCGGCCTTGTGCACCCCGCGCCAATGCGCTCTCTGGCAGGTCGCGTCGCAGTACACGACTGCCTTGCAACCAGTGCAGGCCTTTAGTTGTTGGGCTTGCTGCCCCTGCTGCCCCTGCTGCCCCTGTTGCTGCTGCGATGAGGAGGAGGTCGCGCTGCTGCTGCTGGCGCCCACCCGCAGGCAGTAGTTGCACGTCGTGCGCATTGTCGCGCCGTCCGGGAGCGCCAGCAACGGGGAGGAAAAGGTTGCTATGTGGCTGCCTGCGGGGAAGGGGCGGGTTGCGACAAGGGAGCGGCCCTTTTTATTTGGGGTGGTGCTGCTGCTGCGGCCATGGTCGAGGCGGATTCCAGGAGGGAGTTGGGGGCCCATGGTGTATGGGCACAGCAAGACTGGGACGGTCTGGAACTCTGGTGAAGTCAGGTTCGTTGAGGACTTGAGTCTGTATGGGTGAAGCTTGCTCGTTTCGGTGCAGTTGCGGCTGGGATGTATGAGAAGTTCGCCTTTATAAAGGAAAACGAGATCCTCGGACTCAATGAGACCTCCTCACATCGAACGTTGTGAGTGTCGTGGTGGGAATCTATTCGATAGAGCGAAGTTCGATGCCAGCTAAATACATGTAAGTATCGGCTCTAACATTCTTGCGAAATAACGATATCTCCCATTTGTTTCGAAAGAGTGAACATTTCGAGAAGACGATAGTCGTGATTCTTAAGATACCTGGAACTGCCCGTCCGTAAGATGAAGAAGGAATATGACATCTTGCCAGAGTAAGTACCAAACTTCATACGGCATTCCTACCTTATATGTAGAATCCTCTTCCTGTGCGGCCGGCGTTGACAACGGCGTTGGACGGAGATACCTATCCCAGCAGAGCGAGACCCGCGCGGGAGTCTCGACTCGCGACCAAAAAGTTGGAACGAACCCCGCTCAAAAGAGCACCCCACATAAGAATCTATCGGATTATCGGGGCAGCAATGCCTCGTTTCTTTCAAGGCATCGCAGCCTGATTGGGAAGTCCCGTAACCTCATCATTGCATCCTAGCCCTTGCACCTTCGCAAGTCCTAACGTCGCGAAGTCAAGTCCTACCAGAAATGGCCAGCCGCGGCGGTCAGCAACAAGGGGGCGAAACAGGTCAGTTCCTTCGATGTTCTCAAATGCAACCCCAAACTGCACAACACTCTGACCTCCATGACAACTCCCTGCCCCACCGTATCGCTCACTTGAACACCAACTAAAACAGAACTTGTTGAGCTGATCCTGACACGCCACAGTCAGCCTTGACACCCTCAGCGCCCAGCAGCTCAGCGCCGTCAAGAAGCAGCTGGACGAGGAGGTTGAACACCTCTCGACGTCGTATGCACAGCTTGCCGCGGCCCAGGCAAAGTTTAAGGAGTGTCTACGGATAGTCAAGACGGGAGGGCTTGAAAGTACGTGATCACTCCCTTCCTCACACACTAGCCACACACTCTCTCTCTTCCTCGCTTTTCTTTCCGCTTTGCTTCTACTTCTTCTTTGTCTTATATTCTCATCTTCATTTCATCGGGTTTTCCCCTCCCTTGCACTTCCTCTTGGCTCAAGTCAAAACAACCCCATGAAGAACGCATCCCTGAACTCAACCCACTCCCATTGGACAACAATCAACTGCCCAGACCGTTTCCTCACCAAAGGCAAAACAGGAGAGAAGCCCGTCCTCGTGCCACTCACAAACTCCCTCTACGTCAAGGGCCAACTGGCCGATTCCGACCGGGTCCTCGTCGACGTCGGGACAGGCTTCTATGTCGAAAAGGTAAGACACAGACCCCCCACAATTCACCAGCTTGGCCCCATTTCTGACTCCCTCCACCTCTTCTCGCACTCGCAGGATACCAAAAGCGCAACCGAATTCTACGAAGCCAAAGTCAAGGAGCTAGCGGGCAACATCCAGGGACTTGAAGCCATCGTGCAGGGCAAAACCAACAACTTGCGTGTGGTGGAAGAAGGTTCGTCGTCGCTTCCCTTGTCTCTTCTCTTTCCTCTCTCCGCTCTATACTCTCTACTGTCCCGGGGCGTATTCAAGTTGTGAGCTGACTTGAACCGGGTCACCAGTCTTGCGGCAAAAGGTATTAGCATCAAGCGCGTCTGCGTCGGGAGGACAGTCGTCATCATCATCATGACAGGGCCGAATCCTTTCCAAGCAGCCCAATAAGGCCATGGTAGCGACAAGGTCCCAACGGCATTCTTGGTTGTTCACCAGAATGGCACTTTTGTCACTCGCCTTGTACTAGGCAGCCCATATCTTTTCGACGGCCACAACCTCTTATGTCGCCTTCGTTCCGACCAGAACGTTCTCCATGCCTACATAATCTTCCCGCTGGTGTAATACTGGGATCCTGGCCCCAGGAACCTGGCCGCGTCCCACCCGCGGGCGGAATGTGTGGTTCTCTGCCTACTGCCAGTTGGTATGCTTCTGTTAAGGACATCTGGGCCACACCTGAGCCGGCCAGGGTGAAAAAAGACAATAACGCAGACAGCTCAGGGTAGCTCGTCCAGTCTGTATGAGAAAATCATCGCAATCGCACATTCAAGCAACCATGTACTCTTCCTCCCACCCTTGTCAACAATACATGGTCCACCGAGCCCAACAAGTCAAACATCAACCAAACAAGTCAGTACATATGTGCATATTCACACAAGCAGTTCCGTGATAACAGCGGCCTCATCAGTCGCCGCGATCTCTCAGCTCGTCGTCAAGCATCCTCTGTATCCAGTGAACCCAAGAGAGGAAGTGGTCCAGTGAGTCTTGAGTTGTGCCAGGCTCTCCTGGGCCGCCATCCTCTTCGTCGATTGGCTTCAAGAACTGGGTGGCGAAGCTCTCATCCCACTCTCGGGACTGGGAAGTACTGGAGCTCATTTCGTCGTCCCAATCATCGCTGTACAGCATGACACCACCCATAGTGATCGGCGGCGACTTGGTGTCCTTTCCCCATATGTGGAACAGATTGATCTCGAGATTGTACTGTAAGCTTATCGTGTATTTCCACGTAACTTTTCCGAGGACTTTCTCTATGTCGTAAGCTTTGATGAAAGTGTCGGACAGCATAATATTGGGGAAGTCTCCTTCGAGAGCATCTCCTTGGAATCTTAGGTTCATCTCCAGATCCTTGACGGTGAAGGGAACAGAGGAGCTGTCATCTGAGAGACTGGCCACCTTGCAAATCTCGAGAACCCAGTCGTGAGAACTGTGTCACTGTCAGTTTTCTTCCTGGGCAAAAGATCTGTGGACGGGCTTGCCTCTCTGGGCATGATGTTATCACCTCCACCTTTTGTTCGCGTTTTTCTTGTCGGTGGGCAACAAACGGACCAGGCGTATACTGTTTGAGTGGCTTCGTCTTCTCCCGTAGCCTCCCTTTGGCTTGAACCAATTCGAACGTAGTCTCGACACGTAGGTTCTTGGTTTCCAAGACAAGAGAATAGGCGGGTTCCGCTGGCGGTTCGAGGTACCTTCGCACAGACTCCGGCAGGTCCCCATCAGCTGCAGAAAGTCGAACCTTCAGGGCTTTTGCGACCTTCTTGTCGACCCTGCAGCAAGTCAGCAGACTCCAGGCGAAGAGCAGTATGGAACACTCACACGTCCATCATCCGGCCAGTGCCTCTGACTCCAATACGGCGGACAAGGTTTTGGAGCTCGTTGAAGGTGTAATCTGTCTTTCCTCTCTTCCACTCGTCCAGGGCAACCTTGCCAAATTGAACCCTCATTCGCATGGCGTTTGGGTCGTGTCTCAAGGTTCTGGCTGTGCGGTCGAGAGCTCGTCTCAGTTCTTGCTTGTATTCGACCTCGGCCGCGGCAAAGCCATCTGGCGTAGACGACTCCGGGTTCGAGCCGCCAACCGCCATAGGGCGGACGCCAAGATCTCCTCCATTGGATTGGAGCGATGCTCTAAATTGTTCTGTGCCGTTGCGCGGGGCGTGGATTAGGAACTGCGCTCGCCAGATATTCTGTCCTCCTTGCTCGTAACGCAAGTGCTCCCGGATCTCGGTAATGGCTCGGTTTGCCCTCTCCCTGTTCCTGCCTCTGACAGTAATGGCAGTACCATTTTCATCAATGTCGATCTTGCATTCGTATTGCGCCTCTATGCAAGAAAATACCGCCTTCAGATCCAGACTCGATGGCTCAATTTCTTTGAAGCCGCGCATCGGCGCCGGCAATACAACTTGAACCTGCGATTCTCAGTCATCGCTTCATGTGCCAGACTGATGGACACATACCCCTACAGTAAACAATGGCGGTTCTTTCGCCGTAGCTTTGTCGACACTTGAAGTGTACATTCTTCTCATCATGTTGATGACTCGATGTACACTATGGTTCGATGCGAAATTGGTGTTAAGGGAGCTGGAAATCTTCGAGGGAAGGAGATATTTCTTGTATGGCCCCGTCTCGACTGTTCAGTGAGCACATGGATGTTGCACAATCCCGCTATGAAAATTAGTGGGCGCAAAGCTGACTCTTGGATAAGGCCAATACGCACTTGGGTTACACTCGCGATCGCTGGAAATGACGATGGGTGAGCGACCAAGCCCAACATGACAAAAAGTCGGGATGGAAAACCACGGGGACCAGAAGTTCAGTCGAGGGGGAGTCTTGGGTGATCTGGACCAACCAAATTCAAGTGCCCGGAATCAAAGGAGGAAGGAGCAAACGCGGGCTCGTGCAGGTGGGTATCCAGGGGGAGGGCAGACTAGGGGCAGCCTTCTTCTGCCAGGCTCAAGCAGCAGCAAGGCCGGCTGACCGCCCAGGACATTGAGTATTTTCCTGCAGAAAGAGAGAGATTCGGGCAAGGAATTCCCATGGAAGTCAAGAAGCCCTGGAGAAGTCGGAAACAATAAGTAGTCGGTCTAATTTTTGGCCTAGGCTGAGGCAGTGAAGAAAGATGCCCGCCTGTCAGACCGGTTCAAGGTTTTGATGTTAGCGTTAGGGTTCCACGACCATTAGGAGTATACCTGATATTGAGGTAGCTCGATGCCGACCTACCTAACTGACAACGGTGCCTTCTCGCTATAAGTTGCGATAGTGGACTATCATGCCCCATGTCGATAGTTGGAGCCTAAGGTAGCTTCTTTATCAGTGAGAAGGTGATTGAGGATAGAGATGACGAGGGTAAGTTTGATGGATGTAGGGTCCCGTTTTAGTCCATTGGGTAAGTACGGTGAAAGCGAATAAGGTGGGCTATAGCTGAGGTACCGTAGGTAATTGGGGGGCGTTTGCTCCTTCCATGACAAACGAAGTTTGAAAGGCCAAACTCAAAAGGGAAAGAACACCCACAGAAATAAACAGCAGAGAATATTCAATAATAGCACAGACGCACAGGTGAGGTATGCCTGGACGCTGTGGAATTTGAGGGTGAAGTGAACTCCGCAAATTGGGACATCTCGGGCCACCGGCTACTGTCCTTTTCGCTTTCGCCGGCCATCCTTCCAGAGTCGGTCCACTCTTTCGTTGCCGTCGAGCAATGGGCCGATGAAGACGAGGCTAAAGCCGTGGAAGATTTATTGAAAAGTGAAAGCAGATATCCCTGCGACTCTGCGAGCTTCGTGATGGATCTCCCGGTCACCGCCATAGCCTGGATAATCATTGAAACTCAATTGCGGATGGGGACAGCGCTGGGGCACGACGGGGATGTCATGGTTGAATGTCATCATGACATCGTCTTGATTGTAGTGTGGCTCTATGTCTTCTACCCATGCATCAAGACGGTTTATACTTCAGGTATGAAACGGAGATCCTATGGACCGGACGTGACGGAGATTACGAGTAGGATTGATGAGAGCATACAGCACAGACCGCCGTACGCTGACTCTTCGCGGGGGAAACCGAAGCCGCTTGGCTGCTGCCACTCTGGCTCAACTGATGATGGGTTCCAGCATTGATAGAACCACTAGCAGTCGACCGAGGTGGAGGCGACAGCAACAGCAGCGAACCAGATTCGAAGGCAGCACGAAGCACCACAATCCATGACTTATCGAATGATCAAGGCCTTACGGGCGGCTCAACGCCTATGTGTACAGGCAATACAACCTCGTAGTCTCCCAACAGGAGCAGCCTCAACGGCCGCAGGCGGGACACATGGAATAGCACCATGCCAATGCTCAGGGTGTCCGCTGCACATCGCGCTTCACATATTGTATGATATCTTCTCACTTTGCAATTGCGTCGGTCAGGTCAGTCACATCGAGATCGACCATAGTTTACTCGGCTGCAACTTGATGGGTAGACTCTAAGCAGAATATAAGCCCAATCGAACAGGAAGGCCCTCAAAGTTACCTGGGGATAGGGCGGTTGGAGAGTTTATGCAGGTCTACAGAAGTTCAGGATTAGGGTCAAGGGCAAGAAGAAGATGTACAGATCTTCAATAAAGGGCGGACGTCGAAGGAAAGTCGATATTGCCCCTGGATAATGAAAACGAGCATTAGGGATTGCATCATGATTCACGGCATTCATGTTACTAAGGGGGCAAGGTTAGGAGGCACTGAGGCAGTCTCCATGATTTATGTCCATTGCGTAGACTTCATGACATGAGCATTATGGAACCTGGCCTGGAGACGGATATAAGCTAGAGTTTATGAAGGAAGGCAATGAGGCGATTGCCAGTGGTGGATGCCGTCGGCGCCGTAGTGGCTAGAATGAATGGTAGTAAAGTATACTGGGCCGAACAGGGGGACAATTCGATATGTTTGAACTTTGCACTAGAGTACTAGAATAGACTAGACTGTATGCGTTGGCATAGACGTTGCTGGACATACTCTCACATGGGATGATGGGAGTCACCGAGTCTTTGGATCTTGGTCTGCACTCTGCAGTGGGTCAAGTTAAGCTGCAGACGTTGTGGCTTGGCAGTTGTGTGACGTACCCAATTAGCAGGGGTTTTAATGGGCTCGACGCGTGAGTGGTGGGGCTAGACGCGTCTCTCTCGCTGTAGCTCCTACACGCGATCCCTTCGAGTCAGACAAGTGCGATGCCGCAGATATTCGACCGCTAAACTCAACTTTTGTATGCAACTCTTCGCATTGCCAGACGCCAATTGACACCGCCTTTACGACTACCACATATTGTACGCCAGAAATCAAGAATGCCCGGGCTTGTTGGCGGCTTGTCCAATCGTCGCAAAGTACAATATCTTCCAGGAGTAAACAGAGAAGACTCGGATGACGAGCTCGGGACAGAGGACCTTCCGTGGGAGTGGATTTATGAGGATGAAGCGGCTGGCCCAGACCCGGACGGCGGAAAGGGTAGGAAGAGAAAGAGGACCACGACCCAGCCGGCCGAGATTGTTGGCGCTCGCATGGGAAAATTCGAGTGCTATCTGGGAGACACCATGCTGCTCAAAGCCGAGCGCTCTAACGAGGCCTGGGTTGGGTTAATATGCGAGTTTCAGGAGGACGAGCTGGGCGAGATGGCTGCCAGGTTCATGTGGTTCTCCTCCCACCACGAGATTCGCGGTTTGCAGAAACGGACCGACTTCCTTGAAGTGAGTATGAATCCCCAGGGAGCCGCGGTCTTCAGCTAACTTGTTCATCTAGAATGAATTGTACATAACGCCGTCGTATGATGTTAACCCTTTGGCAACTATCAACGGCAGGGCGCACATCATGTCCCAGGCAGCCTACATGAAGAAGTACCCCAACGGCAAAGTCCCTCGCAAAGCGAAGGAGTTCGGCAAGGTGTTCATCTGCCGCCGAGGGTGCAACATGAGGACATGCACCTATACCGACGAGTTCGTGTGGGAGGATGTCTACCGGGGAAGAGGCGACATCGATGCTCTGCAGGATCTTGTCCGCAATGGCACCAAGGCTACCCGTAGGCGAAAGCGCCCGAAAGAAATACCCGAGGAGGACTATAAGATGGACGATTTAGATGGTGATGCTGGGCATGAATACGCCCCTGGAGTACCGCGCAGCCCAAAGAAGGCACGAATGCAAGACGCAGTCACTCCAAGCAGCAAACGAAGGACCCCCGGCAGCAAACCAGCGACGCCTTCCTCGCATCGCCGCATCCTAGTCAAGAAGCACCTCGAATTCACCCCGCTCGCCACCCGCATCATCTCCCCGCTGCATGTGCAGTCTTCGCCTTATCAGCTTGCCCGCACGCAGCTGCATGTCGCCTCGGTACCTACCAGCCTCCCCTGCCGCGAAGCCGAGTTCAGCCTAGTCTACTCCCACCTGGAAGCCGCAATCACAGACGGCGCCGGGACATGCATCTACATTTCGGGAACACCCGGCACGGGGAAGACGGCGACGGTCCGCGAGGTGGTCGCACACCTGGACGCGGCCGTGCGGGCCGACGAGCTCGACGACTTCATCTTCGTCGAGATTAACGGCATGAAGATTACAGACCCGCACCAGTCGTACTCACTACTGTGGGAGGCGCTCAAGGGCCAGCGCGTGAGCCCCGCACAGGCGCTCGACCTGCTCGAGCGCGAGTTCAGCCACCCATCCCCCCGGCGGGTGCCGTGCGTGGTGCTGATGGACGAGCTGGACCAGCTGGTGACCAAGAACCAGGGGGTCATGTACAACTTCTTCAACTGGCCGGGGCTGCGCCACAGCCGCCTGATCGTCCTGGCCGTCGCCAATACCATGGACCTGCCCGAGCGCACCCTCAGCAACAAGATCAGCTCGCGCTTGGGCCTCACGCGCATCACGTTTCCCGGCTACAGCCACGAGCAGCTGATGCGCATCGTGCAGAGCCGGCTGGCGGGCGTGCCGGGCGACATTGTCGATCCGGACGCGGTGCAGTTCGCCGCGCGCAAGGTGGCGGCCGTGAGCGGTGACGCCCGCCGCGCCCTCGACATTTGTCGGCGGGCGGTCGAGCTCGCCGAGGCGGATGCCAGGGCAAAAGAAGAGGAGGCTGAGAGCGTGCCGGCCACGCCGAGCAAGACCGGGCGGAAGAAAAAGGGCCACAACCTGAACAAGCAGGAGGAGGACACGCAGGTCAAAAAGAGAAAGGCTCCCTCGGGGAGGGTAACAATCGAGACGGTCCGGCGAGCCATCGCCGAGGCCACCAGCAACCCGCTCCAGCAGTACCTCCGCGCGCTGCCGTTCGCGTCGCGGCTGCTGCTCACGGCGCTGCTGAAGCGCACGCAGCGGACGGGGATTGCCGAGAGCACGTTTGGCGACGTGCTCGAGGAAATGCAGCGGACGCTGAAGCTTGCCGGGGAGAGCCGGCCGTTGACGCTGCTCGACAGGAAGGCTCAGGAGGCAACAACGACACATGCGCTGCTGGGGACAGACTCCGGGCTGATGACTATGATGCCGCCGGCTGCTCGCGCAAAGAATGCTTCGCAGCTTGTGCGACCGGCCGGGCTAAGCGTTGCGGCTGTGGATCTCACAGGGGCGGGTATCATTAACTTGGAAGGGCAGAGGCCGGAGCGGCCGAGTAAGATGCGTCTGGCCGTCGGAGATGAAGAGGTGAGGCTGGCGTTTCGCGACGATCCAGAAATCAAGGCACTTGGTATTATGCTGTAAAAGACGAGGCGCTATAAACTGATAGGCAAGAAGAATAGGATGGCAAGTCCCATTCTATCCCTCTCCTGTGCCGACATGTTAATGCTGGTGACATAGTATACAATCCTTAGGTCCACGCAGATCTCCCACTCCCGCCTAGTACTTCCTCCTCGACAAGGTTGGTTTCCATTCCAGGGGATGTGTCTGCGGTGTAGCCTCCGGATCCTCTTTCCATATTTTGACTGCAGAACATGTTAGTATTACATGGTCAACTAAAGCCAAACCCAAGGTTGAGGCACTCACTTGTCTTGTCCGCCTCGCCACAAATCAGCCTCGCGCCTGAGACGTCAAAGGTGGAGCTCATGATGCCGGACTCGGCATCGAGCGAGCCCGGCTGAGCGGTCGTGTCCAGGGCCTGGAAGCGGTACCCAGACTTCCAGTCCCAAAAGCTCATGGACCCATTGTCGCCGCCCGAGAAAAAGACATTCTGGTCGTTGACGGACAGGGTGTTAATGATGGCGTTGTGGCCCTCAAAGTTTTGCATGAAAGCGCCCTCAGGGCACTTCCATTGCTTGATGCTGCCCGTGCTGCCCGTGGCGAAGGTGAACTCGGTCGGGTGCGTAGCCAGTGCGCGCACGCCCTTCTTGTGGTGCGTCAGCACCCCCATCGTCTTGCCCGCCGCCAGGTCCCACATGCGCACCGTCGAGTCCAGGCTGCCTGTGATGACCTGCGGGTCGGCCTCCTGGCAGACGAGGTCGGCGACGGTGCCCGTGTGGCCTGACAAGACGTGCACGTTGCTCCGCGTCCGCATGTCCCACACGCGTGCCACGCCGTCGCGTCCGCCCGTGACGAGAACGTCAAGGGTAGGGTGGAGTTTGAGTGTGTACACGCCCGAGAGATGGCCGTGATAGTGTCTTATCTGCAAATGTTTCACATATCAGCATCCAAGCAGCAGACCTCCAAATTCTCAAGCCCGCTAATAGCCCCTACTCACCACCTTGTTGGTCTCCAGATCCCAGCACTTGACCATCTTATCCTCACCGCACGAAAACATGTACGGATGCCTAGGCGACACAGCAAGGCCGCGCACCGTCGAGATGTGGCCCGTCAGAGTCAGTCGCAGCTGGCCGGATGCCAGGTCCCAGATCTTGATGGTCCTATCCCCGGCGCCCGACGCGAACCACTTGTTGCCCGGCTCGACCGCCAGCGCCCGCACCCAGCCCAGGTGCCCACTGATGACGCGCTGGAGCTTCCACGGCGGGTGCCAGTCCGGCCGTGGCTGCGCCAGGAGGCTGTCGGTCCGGCGGACGAGGCTCAGGTTCTGCGGTTCGTTGCGCTGCTGCGCTGCTGCGGGCTTGGTGCCGTTTGGCTTGCGCGAGAGGACGAGGGCACTCGAGCTGGCGCTGCCGCCGGGTTTGGTCGCTGGTATGCCCTCTAGCAGCTTGCGCGCGTGTTCTTCTGATTGCGACGGCGCTTCCTCGGCAGCCTTGGGCTGCTTCTTTTTCCGTGGTCCGGCGGCGGGGACTTTGTTGGCGATGACGTCGGGTAAGGTCTGAACATCGCTGTACTCGGCGTGCAGGCGAAGGGAAAGGGCGGTCTTGGTAATGTCCGGATCCTCAGAGGCCATGCCCGGGTCCAGCTTTCTGCGCTTTCGGCTTGACGGGTCAGAACTTGTGTTGGAGTAGATGGACTTTGTCTTGCGCGCGTTCTCGCGGATCATGGCGTCCAGCCGCGAGACGTTGGCGCCATTGGCAACTTCCGCTGCCATGGTTGGAGAAGAGCCGTTTCGTTTCTGAGGTTAATGGACTGGTTCTTGACCAGGGACAATTGTGGACGATTACGGCCGCCTGGGAGAGACACTTGGGGACAAGAGAAACAATTAGATAAGACAGCTTAGAGTTGATGGTGGCGATGGAACTTCCAAGTTGCTAGTACAAATACGAGCTTACAGGTGCCGTGACCTCGCTTTTTCTCTCGCATGACGACAGGGGTTCCCTGTACCACGATTTTCCCATACAAATCGCTCAGTAATCAATTCACTCCCATGACCACGATGATAGAGTGACTTCATTGAATTGATACCGCTACCTCTGGCCCAACATCGCTTAGATGCATACTAATCTGGACCAAACCCGGATGAAATTTGTATTAGTTCTTGAAGAGGCTCTGCAACCTGGACTAAACCTAGATGAAATCTATATTAGTTGTTGAAGAGGCCCCATAACCTGGACCAAACTAGATGCAACCTGGATAATTAGCTGTAAGTTAAGGTTCTATAAGTTAAGGTCCTATAAGTTAAGATTCTGTAAGCTAAGTTCCTGTAAGTTAAGATCCTATGACCTAAGGTCCTGTAACCTGGAATAAACCTAGATAAAACTTGGATAGGTAAGGTCTTGTAAGCTAGACCGAACCTAGATGGAACCTAGACAGATAAGTTTTTATAAGCTAGACTAGATCTAGATAGAAACATGGAAAAACTCTTATAAGTCAAGGTCCTATAAGTCAAGGTCCTATAAATTGAGATATTATAAGCTAGACTAAACCTAGATAGAACCTAGATACTAGGTAAGTAAGGTCTTATAAGTTAAGGTCTATCTGTAAGTTATGGAGTTATTCAGGCCTAGTGAACCTGTATATAAGTCTAATTGTTAGTGCAAATGTTGTAGTATAGCTCTTGGCTATAGTGCACGGACCCGTGGTCACGGCAGAAGAAAAGCGAAGCCACGGCACCTGTGAAAGCTACAAATACGGAGTAAGTGGGGTCGAGGTTTTAGACCCACCGGAACATGTGGCTGAAGCTAAGGTAGCATTGAAGCCACACCTTGGTCCCATCGGGCTGGATTTGAGCGTGCAGTTTCTCAGGTACGGCGCTTCATTGGCGTAAGTATCCCAGTTGCACTTTTGCACACAACTTTGTCACTACATTAACCCCGGGGAACCAAATCATTACCCCGCTAATTCGATTCCTACCCTACTAAAGGAATTTTCCAGCTACCAAGCCACCTTTCCTCCTACAACCTGGATCCCAGCCCAGTGCCCGCTCTACAACCTTTCTTCGCGAAGACCTCGTTTTCTGAAGATTTGGCTCAAACCAGTCAATTGGGTGAGGAGCGCTGGGCATGGGCCGACCGGAAAGCGTTTTTCCAACCTGAAATCGCGTGCGATTTTGGCTCTTTCGAAAAGACCTCGTTTTTGAGCGATTTAAACCCTGCCTGAGAGCTGGAGCGAGAACTGGGCAATTACCCGATCGAGAAAGGCCGCTCACCTGCCACGCCCTAGCAATGCCACCACACTACGCCCACGCACGACCACGACGGCGCCCACGTATATTTCCCTTTTTGGCAAATGAGAGGCCATCACTACTGCGCATTCCTGACGGCTCGAGGGCGAGCCTTGTACGCGGGGGTGGGGTTGTGACGGCGTGCCTCTGCCTGGAACTAGGGACCACGGGGTATAGGAGTAGGGGGAGGTGCAATCCTAACCCTGACTTAGTTACGTGACCTCTATCAAGTGCCTGCTTAGGGCACAACAAGGACCCATTTAACCTGTGCGCATTGTATAGAGCCCTGTAATTCCTCTCCCCTACTGCTTACTCAACTGTAGATTCTATTACCTAGAGTTCATCTTCTTCTCTACGCAACAACGTTAAAGTTGTGGGTGGTTGTGGCTGAAATTGCATTTACGGGGCTTAGGGTGGAGTGCTGGGATTGAACCCTGGGGCGTGGGCCGATAAAAGTTCTGAGCAAAAGTGCAACTGGGACACTTACGCCAACAAAGCGCCGTACTCAGGTTAGCGTGCCCGGATGGCCCGACCCTGGTTCGCCTAGCTCAGTTCGTTCTGGAAGGCATCACTTACAAGACGTAGAAGCTCTCAGCAGTTCAAAAACATTCCTCAAATACTCTGACTTGTGTGAAATCCTTCACAACAACTGCACTCGTTTCTGTAACTGGAAATTCACTTAACCTCGATCCCTCTCAAATCTTCTCATTGCACGCAAGCATCATGGAAGAGCTATCCCAATATGCGATTCATGCGGCAGCTCGGGAGGGGAAGGGTGAGTTGCACGCCGCTCCTCGCCTAAGTCCGTTGTCGACTCGGCTGACCGAGTCCCACTCATTCTATCCAATTCAGCCGCCGTCGTCGAGTCTCTTCTCAGTGTCAGTCTTATCTCTTCTACTAAATGGTTCTTAAAAGTCTGATCCGGATGTCCAGGCAAACCCAAAGCTCGCCCAACTCAAGGACGAAGATGGCCGGCTGCCCATTCACTGGGCGGTATCATACAACCACCCCGAGATCGTCAGTCTGTTGATCAGCCAAAAAGGGTTCGACCCTGATGCCGAAGTAAATCTTCCTCTGCGGGCACAAGACTGATAGATGGCCCCCTGTTCCGCTCGCTCACTGACCTCCCCGTTCAGGACGACAGCGGTTGGACGCCCCTGATGATCGCGGCCAATGTCAAAGACTCGGACAAGGTCATAGACATTCTCCTTGCACGGGGCGCAGACGTAAACCAGACAAGTGAGTGCTGGCACGCCCACCTCCGTCTGACCCTCATCGAAGAAAATGGAATATCTTTTGACTGATCCCTTTGCTAGATAACAACGGTCAGGTATCGTTACCCTTCCCATCCAGCACCGCTTACCGCCCGTCCGCCCAAAACTATTTGACTGATCCCCTGGATCCCTCCTGCCAATAGACAGCCCTCCACTTCCTCGCCTCCAAAGCCAATCTCGACGTAGCCCGCAAGCTGCTAGAGGCCCACACCCCCCCGGCGTCGGCACGTGTGCGCGACAAGCGGGGGCTGTACCCCCTCCACCGCGCCGCCGCCGTCGGCTCGGTGCCCATGATCAACCTGCTGCTCAAACACCGCAGCCCGCTTAATGCAACCGACAGTGCTGGGCAGACACCGCTGCACCACGCCGTTGCTGAGGGGCATGGTACGTGACTCTCCTCAACCTACCTCTATGCTCGTTGAATTAGTGAAGAGGAAATGAAGGGCACAAAGCTGCAGCAAGGGGCAACAGCTGACTGAGGCAATAGGCGACGCGGCGATTGCATTGTTAAAGGCTGGTGCGGAGACGGATAAGAAAGACGTGGATGGGTTCTTGGCGTTGGAGTTGGCGCCTGGGAAAGATGTATGCCTTTTCCCTTTCCTTTATCTGTCCTATGTTGAGGATCCTATTCCATCTGCCTAGTTCCATAAAGGCTGACATCGAAGACAGGTCCGGAGATATATCGAGCGCAAGGCGGAGGAGGAAGGAATTGAGCTCTAAACATCTCGTGATGCCCGGATCCACGGGTAATACGTAGCAGACAGGCTACAATAGACACTCAGTGGATTGGCAGCGAAAACCCAGGGTTTGATATGGTATCTTTGCCTTCCAACCGGCAGCACGCTGATTGCTCTCGCTGTATAAGCTTGCACTCGCCGAGCCCCTTCAACTTAACACAAAGTCATGTGCACGTCACTTGATAGTCCTCTCCACCAAATCCCTATACATAGCCTTGACGTCCTCCACATCCGCTCTCAGCTCCTCTACCAACTCGCTCTTCTCCCCTAGCAGCTCAAGCGTGGTCTCGTAGCGCTCCCTCACCTCGGCCACCTCGGCCTCCAAGGCAGCGAGCTGCTTCGCGGCGGCCTTGTTTCCTTCCACCTCGCGCATGAGGGCGACGATCTCGGCCCTGGCCTCGTCGCGCTGCTTGGAAATCCTGGCCAGCTCCTCCCTGGCCGCCACCTTTTCGCTCTCGAGCCGGCGAATCGCCGCGCTCATGCGCTCGACGAGCTGCACCGACGGCCCCGCCGTCACCGTTGACACCGACACCATGTCCTGCAGCAGCGTCCCGCCATTCCCGTTCCCATTCCCACCACCACTGCCTCCGCCACCGGGTGGTTGTTGCTGTGGTGAGGACGCGGTCGTCTCGCCGCCCCCGAACGCGTCCTCGCCCTGCTGCACCTCCCTGTCGAGCGAATGGGGGTGTGGCGGCGCCTCCGAGGTGGTCGGGCTGAAGACAGACAGGGGACTGAAGATGCCGCTGCCCGCGCCGCCCGGTTGGGAGGAGGGCAGGGATGGACGGGTGAGAACCTGCGCCGAGGGCCGCCGGCTGAAGAAGCCTCCGCCGCCGCCTCCGCCTCCGCCGCCTGCGTCACTGTTGCTTGACGGCGCCGAGACCTTGCGCGGCCCCTTGCCGGTCAGGCTTGAGATGCCCAGGAAGTCGGTACTCATAGTCCGCTGGGGGGCCAAGAGTTGCGGGGACGCGGGGCGGCTATCGCGATTGATGAAGGAGCCGCCGGGGAGATCTTCCAGCCAGGACCTGGGCCGCTCAACGGGTTGCCGGAGGAGCTGTCGCTCTTCCCTTTCTACTTCCCAGGCTTGTTTCTCCTTGTCAAACTCGGCTTTTGCTTTGGCGAGCGCGGCTTCAGCCTCTTCGGCCCGCTTTTTGAGCGAGTCGAGCTGAGATTGGTAAGACTTGACGTCCTGTTGGATGGTGGGGATCTTGGTCTTGGTCTCCTCCAACTCCTCCTCGTGACGCTTCGCTCGGACGGTCTGCAGAAGGTCAGTATCATGTTCGAAAACAGGGATGCAAAACGCAGTCCTGTACTCACCGCCTCGCGCGCCTTCCGCCTCATCTCCGACTCCCTCCGCAGGGCCTCGTCCTTCTCCTTTTCCAGTCCCGTGATCCTCGCCAGCAGTGTCGTCTCTATTCCTTGCCAGTTCTCGCTCGCGATGGAGTACTGCGTCTGCAGCGTTTCAATCTGCCGCAACAGCTTGGCCTGCGAGTCGCCCGCGACGCCAGATGACGCCTCCTCGGCCCGTATCCGCATCGCCTCGAGTTTTCCCTCCAATACCTGCACCTCGGCCTTGAGCTCCAGCTCCAGCGCCCGAGCACGCTCGTTAGCCCTCTCAGCTTTCTCTCGCAATTCCGTAGCTTGCGCCTTGGCTCGGTCGGCAACAAGGTTCTTTTCCACCTTTAAGGCAGCCACCTCTTCCTCCAGATCTGCAATCCGCCGCTTGTCCTGCTCCCGTGCCTGCTCGTTCACCTTGGCCGTCATTGCATCTGCTTGCTCAACAGCCTTTTGCAATTGGGCTCGAAGCTCTGCAATGGTGCTGTCTTTAGAACGGATCTCGGGCCGTAGGACGCCGAGCTCCTTTTGCGTCTGGTCAAGGCGTTTCTGTAGGTCATCGTGCGTCCTTTCGAGCTCATCGGCCCTGCGAGCGCGCACGCGGAGGGACTCAACCTCCTTGTCCGTCTTAGCCTTAGCCGCTTGTAGGTTGCCGAGCTCCTTCTCTTCCTCGGCTATCTTGGCGCGGAGTTTCTTCAAGATGGCGCGGTGCTTCTGTTCTGTGCTTGCCAAGTTCTTCCCTTCCTCCATCAATTGCGCGATCTGCTGGTCCTTCTCTGCCAGCTTCTTCTCGACGCTCCCCGCGGGCGCGGCCAGCGCCGCTTTTCTCGCCGACTCTGTAGCTTCCCTGGCCAGGAACTGAAGCTTGGCCTCGAGTGCATCGATGCGCTCTACATAGCCGTGAATCTCTTCCTGATGCTGTAGCTGGGCCTCTTCAAGCGCATTGTCCCCCTGTTTTGCTTGTCCGTCATCCTCGGCGTCATCCAGGGCGGATTTAGTGCTTATTAATGAGTTAGCCACCGGGAGCACCATAGCTGGTGGGCTCTTAGGTGCCGACGTTACGGGATGCTGCAGGTCTGCGGAGCTTCTTGCGTCGTTTACTTCCTCAGCCGGCGTCTGGGTCTCCTTTTCCCCGTTTGCCGAAGCCTCATTAGCGCTTGGGTCTGCTGGTCGGCCGTCTTGAGATTGCCTCGAAACCTCTTGTGAGCCGCGTGTAGAGGCGGCATCCATGGAGACTTCGTTCGCAGCCGGGCTCGCAGCATCTATGCTGTCTGTTGAGTTGCGGCTCGGTGCATCGATGCTTTGGCGCGGACTGCCCTGCGTAGACATGGATGACCGAGCAGCGGAATCGGACTTCTGGCCTGCTGCCTTGGCAGCCAAAGCTCTCGCGAGCTTTTCTTGAAGGCGATCACTGGGACGGGCGTTTGAGGGGCCTCTCGAGGGACCTGCACCTGATCCCAGGGGTCAGCACACAACTGTGGCTGAGATACGCGGGGCGGCGCAAGACGTACCAGGATTCTGTTTTGCGGGTGACGCAGCGGCTGGCGGTTTAGCATCCTTCTGTTGCGCGGCGCTGTCATCGTTGTCGGCGAGAATGGTGTCCAGGCGAGCTTCCACGCCGGCCACGGCTTGAGAAAGAAAGGAACCCCATCGGGTCGGGGCCGCCATGGTTTGGGGACGAAACGAAGCGCGCGGTGAACGGTTGAGTTAGTCTGGCCATCAAAGATCGGTATGTACGGTGGTGGAGATCAACTGGATATGTGGCCCGTTACATCTAATTCATCGGGCAGAGGTTGGTTGGGATCTTGGAGATGAGGACTGGTTGTTCGTCTGGATGCAAACGACGCAGAGGATCGCTGGTTGAATTTCTGTTGGCCTCTCTACACTTTTGCTCCAACATTGACTAGCCCAGTAGCTGCCCGAGAACGTGAGCTCTTCATTGGTACATGTCGCTAACGCCGTCGTGTCGGACTGGAGGATTTGGCGACAGATTCTGGGATCCTCTGCCTCTGAGGGCATTGCGCAAGTTGGTTCTTGGCATTGATGTTCCAAGCCAGGACCTCGTATCGCCCAGGGTCAGGCAACCGCTGTCAGCGGCGCTCTGACATGCGGAGCCGAGCGTTAAGCGGGCACGGGCCACAGCAGCCAACTGGAGTCCTGGACATTTCGTTAACGTTTGTAATTTACACATAGTACCGTACTCTGTATTCGACGATTCATAACTCACTGAACGGACGGACACATAGGTATTATCGTGGATGTTAACTTCACCTTTCTCCCGACTACTAGCACACATTAACACAACAGATAAATGCAAACCCTGCGTTGCCTCTTACAGAATTCCAGAATAGCAGTAAGTATGTCTTATATAGAGGCATACCGGGTGCTCATATATATGGGGCTTTTTTCTGCGTATCTAAAATCATGTATTTTAAGGATAATGCTATGTATTTTCAATTGCTATCCCCGAGTGTGGCCCGTCTCTCCGATCATTTCGAAGTATTTGCTCCCTCAGCCTGGAATTGCTGGCGATTTCAGTTGGAAGACAATAAGACGGCGCAGAGCTCGACGGGAGTTGTCACAATGCAGCTGTGCACATTGACAATATTGATTTACTGCATATCTCGAAAATCTAGACACTCTCTATACATCACGGTGCTTTTGATTAGAGGAGCCGTTGGCATACGGTGCTTGACCTATTTTGGTGTTGCTCCAGCCTCTTCCGGCGCATCCGCTCCTCCACTGTTGCTCTCGTGCTGTGTTTCCTCAGTTTTTTGTCAACCGGGTTGCTGGTACACTCGTTTTGAACCTGAAATGCCGCTTTCCCGTATCACGGCATACATCACTGTCAACGTTATACGCACGCAAAATCCTTAACCGGATAGGCCAACAACTCGGCGTCTGGTAACGCTACGGAGGCAGTCGAGAATCCGACACATACCTAGCACTGGACGAAAGCACAAACGCGGGACAGCTTTGAAAGCCGTTCGAAGCCCAGCTACGTTACTTGCTCCGTGTGCTTGGCTGCATGCGGCACGGCGTCCTCTGGCCGTCGGGGGATGAGACATGGAGCTGGTATCGGCACTCCAGATTCCCTACCGGGAGTCGCGAGATGGGTTCTGGGGCGAGCAAACGTCGACACTGAACTGGTGCGAAGAGGTAACCGTCTTCCGTCTTCTGGATGTGCCAAACTTGTGTTGTGGCCAACCTGTTGTGCTTTATTGCTTACAGCCCAATGCTGTGTTCTAGGACTACAACATCTCGTTCTACTGCGCCGAGGTGGTCAATACCCTCACCAATCTCGTCTTTATGTGGCTTGGTGTCAAGGGCCTGCGCAATGTCGTTGAGTATTCGCACTCGCCCATCTTCATCTTGGTCTACCTGGGGTATATAGTAGTTGGTCTTGGCTCCATGGCCTTCCACACAACGCTCAAGTGTTCGTGTCAAGCACGCCTACCTTACCTCACCTACCACAGCCTGAACTTGTGTCCCTTTTCTGTTGTGTCCCGTTGTCTAAAGCCATTCACACGTCACAGATGAGATGCAGCTTGCCGACGAGCTGCCAATGATTTACACCGTCTGCATCATGACCTTTGCAACCTTCTCGTACAAAAAGTCCGTGAAGTTGCAAGTTCTGATCGCAACGACACTCATCGGGCTAGCTGCCTTCATCACGGTCAGTGCTACCTCAAGAAGGAACCACCCGCAGGCGTCACTAAGTCCCAAAGTGGTGCAGATATACTATCTTTATGCAAAGGACCCGGTCTTCCATCAGGTAGCATACGGCCTGATCACGGTGGGAACCATTTTCCGCGGCTTTTACGTGATGGAATGCATCTTGAGACCGGCCTTGAAGCGACGAAATCCGGGCGAATGCGGTCGCCTCATGAGACAGATGTGGATGCTGGCCCTAACCGGTGAGTCTCACCCCAGTACCTAGCCTGAAGCACCTTCTACATTCCTAGTTGCACTGACAACAACGATAACCGTTTGCAAAGGCATACTGATGTTCCTGGCCGGGTTCATAATCTGGAACATGGACAACATCTATTGCCACAGCTTAACAAGGACCAAAAGGAAGATATTGCTCCCGTGGTCAATGTTACTTGAGGGTCATGGCTGGTGGCATATCCTGACTGGTCTAGGTAAGTCTCTGTCTCCATTCTATGGACTGTTTCTCTTGATGACACTGACATGGCGCGCAGGCGGTACGCAATCCTTTTTCTTGGGTGCCATTGTTGTTCCTAGGCGCTGACTCTCATTGCATCACCAGCGTACCATATGATTCTGTGGAGGGTGTGGCTGAACCGCTGTCTCGACGGCCGAGAAAAGGAGTTCATGTTGGACTGGATGCCGTTGCGGTCCGTCCCGCAGGTTGTCCACAGGCACCGGGTCTCTGCCGGTAGCGCGAGAGAGAAGATCCAGTAGATCTGCTCCGTTTTCCTGCCCGAGTAACTCGGCGGGGGAGTTGTCGTTCGGGGCTTACAGATGTGCTAGCATCTTGTTAAACTGGGCGTCATCTAGAGGCAATCTGCTACCTAATTATAGGATTGGTTAGGTCCATGGAGTTGAACAGAGGGGATACCGATTAGGCCATGTCTTGCCATTTTGGTCAACCAGCAGCTGGACAGAGACACTGCGGTGCCAAGGGCTGCTTGTAGACAATCGGAAATTGTATCTGTAACTTGAAGTGTTGAAGTCAAAAACACAACTTGAAGTGGTTGCCGGTGGCATATGCTACTGCATTCTGTTCGCCATGTGCGCCTATTCTTTCGGCACTGTATGCCCAATGCCGCGTGCCACTGCAGTGCCAGTGATGAGTGAACCACAGCGAAGTGATGAATTTCTCGAACCGTTCGTACACACGACACTAACTCATGATGTCCCTCCCACATTAAGAAGTTGCAAGCGGGCATTTCATCCTTTCACCTTACCGATTTGAGGCGCTTTCAAGATCTTGAACTGCGTATTTTTGATCAGCTCAGACCCGAGTGGCGCACACTGCTCAAGTAGGCGAAAATGTCAATATCAAACGAGGCGCTACAAAAGGTGAGCGAGTCATCAATACCCAAGGGGTAACCGGGGTTTGGGCCAGATGCGGGCGTGCCGTGTATGCTAACACATACATGTGTCAATAGCTGGTGAGGGAGATTGAGTCCCAGGCCATCGCCGCACAGCAGCAGATCGGCCTGGTCCGCACGCAGCTCGGGAGCAAGCAGCGTGAGTTACGGCTGGCCCAGCTTACCCGCAGTGAGATCTTGTCCTTGCCTCCTGATACGGCCGTCTACGAGGGGGTTGGGAAGATGTATGTTTTTCCTTCCCCTGAACCCTTACCATCACTCCCCGCTTCTCCACCAGCAAAGAGGTTGGGGTTGCTAACGCTCTTTTTGCAGGTTTGTCGCGGTGCCCGTTCCGGCGCTTCAGGAGAAACTGGGTTCGCAGATCAAGGACATCGAGACAGAAGTGGACGCAATGGGGAAGAGGCTGCACTATCTCGAGACCACAGCCAAGAATAGCCAAGAGCACATCGAGAAGATGCTCAAAGGTGGTGGTCAGTGAGTTTGGGTGACCAGGCCTGGAGATGGGGGTTTCATCTGGACCGGCCCTGGAAGTGGGAGCCGGGAGCCGGGAGACAAGAGACGGGGATGAACCGGCGCTGACCAATGCGGCTTGATTACCTTACTTTGAAGATTTCCATCGGCCTCTCCGGTACTGTACATACATACGCCATGCTCTGATGTGAATTCGTTGAAGGAAATGATATTTGACGTTTCGGTGCCAAGGCTCGATTTGTCCACAAGGGACTTGTTGGAATTTCACAATTGTTGCAGAAATGCACTGCGCCCAAGGCTTCGACGGATACCGCACAGTAGATGTGCACTGTGGAGGTTGGATTCAAGTGGCAGCAAACGACGTTTGGGCAGCGGATCAAGTGGACTGAACTTTGGGGTTGAGCACGAGCGCAGAAGAATCCAAGGTGAGCACATATTATTAGTGCTTCATACCTGTACTTCGTACATACGCAGCGATCATGTTTCTTTCCAGGGTTCCAACTGATGGCGGGCGTCTCGCCTTCCACAGATAACCATGGTTTCAGACTCCCGATTTCTGCCAGTCCTCAGCTAATCAGGAGGCCACTGCAGGTGACTTTGAGACGGTGCGCTTGTCTCTCGCGGCTACTGAACGCTTCTCCGTCCAAGTCCCACCCGTCTGCCGCGGGCGCAAGCACGACATTGCTACCCAATCCCCACCAGGGCAAGCCAAGGTGTACTACGAAGGTCGGGGCCAAAAGTCTTTCCACCACTTCGTTAATGCACGGGCCATACAGTATACACGACGTAAATGCTAGCTATTTCGCACAGTATTTTCTAGCCCCTGCTCTTTCGCTAAGTTCCGCTGCACGCTAGGCCCATTCAAGTACCCGAGCAGTGCTGCAACACTCTCATTACTGTCTAGAGGCACTGTAAGGGCGCTGAAGCAGATGGAGGACGAAGCACTGTATGACCCGTGCGCTAGCTTAACGACTTTGTGGAAACACTTTTGGCCCCGACCTCCGTACTGGTACCTGACTTACCCGCCATGCGAGCCCAGCCCTTCAATAGCATTGCACTTCTGATACTGTACGTACATACAATATCGGAGTTTCACTTTTCAGTACATATACGGCGTTCCCAAAGACCCTCTCATTGTATTCGAGGCTACGCTACCGAATATCGCGAGCTCAGGTAATTGAGGGTGCTGCGTCAGCATATCATCTGGAAACCTAACGCTTTTCCCATGGCGCACAACATGATGCGTGCCCTAAGGTAAGGCTCAGCTCCCGTCCCGAATTCTCGTTCACTTCACCCCTCCAAAGTCCAAACTGCAAACCTCCTTAAGGTAGGTGGGGTACGTAATGTTAGTTATTTCTCAGCCCCCATCCCAGCCACCATCCGCTCTGCAACTGAACGCGCCGGGAAGGTCTCATCCCCGCCTGTGAGAGGCTTATCCAATGCCCAGCCCGGTGAGCCAACCAACTGGCGGCCACCGTGGGAAAAATGTCTTCCCCACCCCTTCCCTCTGCTCACAAACAAGGGTGCAATACCTGACCGGTACGGGTCCCCTCGGCCAGGCTGCCATTATGCGCTCAGTGGTCCCGGGTACCTGCCACTCGGCCAGCCCATGGAACCTGGTCGCAGGTTACGCACTGTGCAGGCTTAGAGGGCAGATGCCACCGTCCTGATTTGCCCAATGTGTTCGCAGCTAATGCAGCCCTCATCCGTGAGACCCTCCCATGCTTGAGCCTTCCCTGCTGCCGCGCCGCTGAATAAATGGTGGGATCACACCCCGCTCCGGTTGGCGGCTGACATCCTTCCTCCCTCCTGGCCCCCTCCTCTCTCTGTGCCGCCGCCGACCAGAAGGATTCCCTCACCATTTCCCGCTCCTCAATTTCTGGGTAACTGCTCGTGAGAGGGAAGCAAGTCACCCAAAGCCTCTTGAGGAGACTTCGACGAGACCAGATTCGCAAATTCCCGTCCAGGCGAACCCTCCTCGTATACCTCTTCCAGGAGGAGGATTTCAGTGATATCGGTTCATCTAGCGGGACGCAGAGAAAAGGTGCTGGCACTGTTGTTCTCCTCTTAGGCCCGTACGTCCCCCAACATGTCTAGCTACTCCAGCGACGAAGAGTCGGTCAACTTCAGGTACGTCCGGCGCGAACGGTCACCGATGCGCCGGGGGCCTCCTCCGCCTCCGCCTCCGCCAGGGCCACATCATGTCCAAACCGTTGTCAGGCCCGTGAGTCGCCATCGCACCTCGGGCTACTACTACCATCCCGAGAGCTCTCTCGCGCCGGAGCGGACCATTATAACGGCCCGTTCCCGGTCGCGGGAGAGACGGTCTCCGCCGGTCGGGCCTCCACCCGGCCCGCCGCCGCCCGGTGCGCCCCAGGTTGTCATCAACCAGCCATATGTTGCGCCGCCGCCGAGGCGCGGCCGTGACCACGACTCGGACTACTCGTCGGACGACTCGTCCTATGTCTCGTCACATCACCACCGCCATCGCAAAGGGCACCGGTCGCACAGCCACGTGCGCAGCCGGTCGTCCAGCACGCACAGCTACCTCGAGCGGGAAATAGAAAGGAGCAAAGAACGCCTCATGGCCATGCAGCTCGCCAACCGTGAAAAGGAGGGAAAAGATCTCGAGCTCGTACGCATCCAGGCCGAGCTAGACCGGATCCACCATGAGGATGAGCGCCGTATTACCCACGACAAGTACAGGCAGGAGTTTGAGAACGAGCACCTCAAGCGCGAAGTGGAACGGTTCAAGTCTCGGGAGGAAAAGGAAAGGATCGAAAGGCTGCGCGAAGAGCAAGCAGCGCTGCTCAGGGAGAGCGAAGAATTGAAGCGCATCAAACGCCGCGAAGAGGAGGCCCAGCACGAGAAGCGGATTGAGAACGAAAACGAGCTCAAGCATTTCAAGGATGAGCAGGTACGCTGGCGGCGCGAGCAGGAGGAAAAGGAGCGAGAAAAGCAGATCAAGTTGGAGGCCGAGCACCAGGCTGCCATGGCTGAGCTGGAGAAGATAAAAAACGAGAGAGTGAGGAAGGAAGAGGAAGAGCGCATCAAGCGCGAGCTGGAGCTTAGATTACTCGAGGAGGAAAAGAAGGCGGCGGAGGAGCGGGCGCGAAAGGAGAAAGAGGCCGAGGAGATCATTGCCCAGTTCAAGGCCAAAGAGGCCGAGCGCCTGCAGAAGGAGAAGGAGGCCCAGGAGGCGTTTGAGAAGGAGGTGCAGCGCCGCATGCAAGAGGCCTTGATTCAGTCTGGCGTCGACGAGAAGGACATTGAGGCCATCATGAAGAAGGAGAAGATCAAGAAAGATAGAGAGGAGGCGGAAAGGCAGGCCGCAGCCCGGCCCGTCTACACTCGCATGTCTCTTCGGCACCTCGCCATCGAAACTCTTGATCACTACAAGATTGAGTGGGAGTGGGATCAGGTGAGCCCAGCAGCCCCCCCC